GATTGCTTTTTTCTTATCAAACTATTTTAAATGGTTAATATGAAATCACTTGTTAATTTCTAAAGAAAACATTACCAAATGAGTATTACACAAAAAACATTATAGATATTCATAGAAAACTCAAGGTACACGTATCCTTGCGTGAGTGTATATATTTGTCAACTGATGACAAATTACCATTCGTGTCGATGGTAATTGAACATATTAGGAGATTTTTTTATAATAGAAAACTTTTAATTAGTTTTTTATGCCAGCAGAAAATTCTAAATTAGATTTAAGTATAAATATTCCTACATGGAATATTATAATCATGGTTGTCATTATCTATACAGTCAAAACTCCAAAGATGAGAGTAACCGAACAACAACATAAACTGATGTAATAGTGAATACGATGTTATAACACAATAGAGTATTTTCACCGTAGCAACGGTCAGATTTACATTTTCAATAATATGTGGTGTTAAACATGAAGTTAAAAATACTGTAGGACCAACCATATATTGAATTTTCATGAATAAATAATACGAAATAAAGTTAATATATCAAAAAATACAGATGAGTTGAAAGTCAAGAGTTTTGGGCTACGAAAGCGACCGGAATTGAAGAAACTTCCATCCAAGTCAAGCCATCTCAACTCACCAGAAACATGCACTCTACACAACTAACCAAAATTAGTGGCACAATTAGAAACCTAAACCTTTTAAAAACGTTTTAAAATAATAAGAAAAGTAACAAAACTTTTCAAACCGTTTTCTCAATTTTAATAGTAACAGTTCTAGTTTTCTTCTTTTTTTATTTGATCAGAAACATTTCTAATTAGACATTACATTTCTGTTTGAAACAGTTTATTTCAAACAAAAAAAAATATAATTAAAAACATTAATATGAAAAATAACTAGAAAAAAAAACAAAAATTCAAAAAGCTTTTCCATTTACCTTTTTTGGTTTAAAAATGATTATAAGAAGGGGAAACAAAATTCAAAACTACGATAAAAATCATAAAATTCCAGAATAAACACCACGAACTTGTAGTTTATAACAACACACA